TTTTTTTTTTTTTTTTTTTTTTTTGGTCTAACTGCTGTAGCTAATGTTTCCAGAACTATATTGAATAGGAGTGGTGATAGTGGCCATCCTACTCTGGTTGCTGATTTTAGAGTAAAACCTTTCAGTTTTTGACCATTTAGTACGATGTTGGCTGTTGGTTTGTCATAGATGACTTTTATCAGATTGAGATAAAGACCTTCTATTCCAATTCTCTACATGGTTTTTATCATGAATGGGTGTTGGACTTTGTCAAATGCTTCTTCTGTGTCTATTGAAATGATTGTGTGGTGTTTTGTCCTTGGTTCTATTGATGTGGTATGTAACATTTATTGATTTGCGTATATTGAACCATCCCTGCATCCCTGGAGTGAACTCTACTTGGTCACTGTGTATAATCTTCTTGATGATTTGCTACATTCAGTTTGCCAGTATCTTATTGTGAGTTTTTGCATCTATGTTCATTAGGTAGATTGGCCCACAGTTCTCTTTCTTTGGTTGGGTCCATCTTTGGTTTTGATATCAGAGTTATGCTCGCTTCCCGGAATTACTTTGGAAACAATACTTCCCTTTCAATTTCATTAAAGAGTTTGAAGAGTAGTGGTATTAGATCTTCTCTAAATTTCTTATAGAATTCAGCAGTGAATCCATCAGGACCTGAGCTTTTCTTTGTTGGTAGTTTTTAAATTACTTCTCCAATTTCATACACTGATACTGAGTTATTTAGAATTTTTGTATCTTCTTGGTTCAGCTTTGGTAATTTATATGTATCTAGGAATCCATCCATTTCTTGAGTTTTCCATCTTAGTAAAGGTTCTCAAAGTATATATTGATGATCTTTTGGATTTCTGCAGGATCCATTGTGATTTCCCCCTTTTCCTTCCTAATTGCATGGATTTAGGTCTTTTTTTCTTCCTTTTTTGAGGAAGTTGGCCAAGACTTTGTCAATTTAATTTAATCTTTCAAAGAACTAACTCTTTAATTCATTGGTCCTTTGTATTGTTTCTTAGTCTCAATTGCATTAATTTATGTTCTAATCTTTATAATTTCCTTCCTTGTATGTGCTTTGCAACCAGAGCATTTTCAACAATAGTCAGTGTTAAACTAAATGAATCAAAATAGTTATTCTAATTTAAATAAACCTACAGACTCAAAGCTTTGGAAAACATAATTGTATTAAGAAAAACATAATTAGCAGATACCCTGAGCCATCTCTACATACCTGGGTAAGATTTGCAGCCTGCTTTAAAATTCTTTTTTTCAATTGCTCTGCTCTCTTGGCATGAAAAGAGTTGCTTTGACTCTGGATGACAAATATAATTTCTTTTAAGTCTAGAACAAAAAAAAAGTGTTCAGGTTTTCTTTCATTAACAATGATTGAAATAAACTTAAAAACAAGTTTAAAAAACAAGTACAAGTCAAGCAGTAAACTCTTGGGGGAAGAAATCTATTTATATCTAATTCTAGAGACAAAACCTATCTTTTTAAACTGATTTTCAAAACATCTTTCCTAGAAGTTAGCAAGTAAATAAGCTCACTGTACTAGACAGAGCCCGTGGTAACAAACTGTGAATGTGCTCCTGCATCTGTCGAAAAGAATGTGCGAAAGTATGCAACGTTTAGGACACCAGCCTCCCTAGTGACTGAAAATCGATGTTTATAAGTAGCCTACCAACAATTTCCTCATAATACTACCCTGTGCTGCAATCTGTTACGGTATTAAGTTTGTCCCCAAAATGCATACGTTCAAGTCCTAAACCTCAGTATTTCAGAAATTGATCTTCTTTGGAATTGGGTCTTTACAGAGGTCATCAAGTTCAAATGAGGCCATCAGGGTGGACCTTAATCCAGTAGGACTGACAGCCTTGCCTTATAAAGGGAAAATTTAGACAGACAGACAGATATGCACAGAGGGAAGACAATGCCAAAACACATGCAGACGGTCATTTACAAACCAAGGTGAGAAGCCTGGAACAGATGCTCCTGCACTACCCTTCACAGTTCTCAGAAGGAAACCACTCTGCGGATACCCTGATCTCAGACTTCTACCCTCCAGAACTGCGACACAATTTCTGTGGATTAAGCCATGGTTTGTGATTCTTTCTTATGCAGCCTGTATTAGTCAGCTGTCTGTTACTGTGATAAAATGCCCAAGATAATCAACTTCAATATAGGAAGGGCTTACTTTGGTTCACAGTTTTGGAGGGTTCAGTGCAGTCATCTGGCCCTAATGCTTTGGGCCTGTGGCAGCACAGTATATCGTGATAAGAATGTGTGACAGAGAAGCCCTGCTCACCTCAGAGATCAGGAAACAAAGCCGGAAAGTCCCGATATCCCCTCCATGAACACACCTCAGTGAACTAACTTTCTTCTACTAGGGCTCACCTCTTAAAAGTTCCACCACCTCCCACCATTGTCATGTGCTCGAGACCAAGTCTTTAATCCAACCCTAGCAAGCCAATATGCTATTTTAAGAATGTTCTGTATGTCCCTACAAGACACTTAGCAATGACTGCATATGTCCACTGAGTTAACAAGGATTCGCAAACAAGTAACTCAATAACCCCTACAGTACCTCAAAACACACCTAGCCAGAATTAGCTGTTATCTCCAGGAGACCAGCAACAACAGTCCTACAGCAGCAGGGCACCAGCTGGAAGTGCTGCACAAAGCCCAGCTATAATACGCAGACAGTATTTGCCAGTCCACTAGGACCCACCTCAAGGCAACCAGCTTTTCACAATGGCAAGCAAGGAAGAAATCCTAGTATGTCTTGCCCACCTGGCTGGGGAAGACCCCTAGAAATCTTGCAAGGGGGTGCAGCTGCTCAGGCTACACACCAAATGAGCACACTCAGTCTTCCCAGGCTTTAAATTTGTAATAACGAAATAGAAACAGCCATGATGGCAGCCATGATGGTAGCCAGGTGCCACCAGACATGTGTGTAGACAGAAAGAGGAAGTCACATAAATTTTGATAACCATATTTAGAGTAGATCAGCATTTCTCTATCAAGTGTTTTGCTAACATTTCAGCTCAGGGATACTAACTAGATTCTTAACTGCATCACATTATATTTTATTGCCCCTATATTATTAGTTATATATTTCCATCTTTTACCCACTCAAACATTCACACAACAGATAGCTCCATGGTGAACCATCTAGATTCTAAACATAACCAAAAACGCTCTTTGGTTAAAACTCAATACAAACTATAAAACAGAATGCTGAATAACCTACTGAATTTGACCTCGTTTCTTTTCTTTAGGAGTTTATATAAACAGGAACATTCTGTAGACCCGCCTCTATTTTGAATCAGCTTCTTGGCTCTCTCTCTGTACACTGAGGGCATATATATCATAACATAAAAGCTGTCTTATATTTCAAATGATATGTTCTCTTCAATCCACAACATCTGAAATATTAATATAAACTGACATATCAAAAGAGGAGTTATGAAAATTTCTTTTTATTAAGAATGGAGTAAAGCTTCAGGAGGTACATTTTCCAAAATTTAATAAAGTTGAAGATGCATATTCTCGATGATCCAGAAATTTCACTCCTATTAATCACCCTTGAGAAACCCTCATGTGTATATGAGGATGTATAACAAGAATGCTCACAGTGGCATTGTGTAAAGGAAAAAAATGGAAGCAATTCAAATATATACCAGTTAGCTATATTAAACAGAATATTATACAGCAATAAAAATTAACTAGCACTACATGTGCCAATTAACTGCATACAAAAATCAATTCAGAGAGATTCAACATGGCTGACTATAGAAAAGAGTGACATCAGAGATACTCAGAAAAGATTCACTGAACACACAGGTTTTATAAAATGAGGAAAAGTATTCATACTCTGCAACCACAAATTAACCTGAAAAATGATACAGGTAGATTAAACAAAATATCTGCTGAAGAGGGAAAGTGGCACACCCCTGCTGATCCCCACCGCTCCCGCCCGCACGCCTTCCAAGCAGCGACCACTGAGAGAGGTCCTGGACAGCCCGAGGGGATGAACCTGCTCTGCAGGCCAGACTCCGGAACAGGCCCTCTACAAACTGGGAGAATCGGAGTTAGCAGGAAATCCTGAACATAACCACCAGTACACAGCAGGGGAAAAGAGTCCCTGGGAAGCCCAGGGACTGTGCCAGATTCTGCTGGCTGGGAAGGGGAAATTTTGAATTCAGTATGGTTGTTATATTGTTCTCTTCAAAGTACTTGTTCAGATTGCCAGATACAAGCAAGGAAAACTGGTCAAAAAATATTAGACATTAACTGTTACTTTCACTAAATGAACAGAAACTGGCAGTACAATTATCTTAGCTATCGTGTGTGTGTGTGTGTGTGTGTGTGTGTGTGTGTGTGTGTGTGTGTGTGTGTGTTTTCCCCCAGAAAGGGGAGAAACAGGGTCAGTTAAGGATTTGAACACAAAAGAAATGATAGGACAGGCCAAGGCAGAGACTTCCTGGCAACAAACCAGCTGGGAAATATCTGAGCAAGAAACTGAAACACGAAACTGAAACTGAACAGCCCAAAGGGAAGCAGGAGTCAAGGGACACTGGCAGATCAGGAAAGCTCAGTGTGAGAAAATTTACTTCACATCCTGCTCCCCTCAAATTAACTGAGGTGGCTGGATCATGGGTCAGACACCACAGACCACAGTTAACTACTTTTGCGTATTTATTTTTCCCCCTCCCCTTTTTTTGGCTTTCATGCAGTTGTTTATTTTCTGTCTCTCTTCTCCTTATTCTCTTCCTTCAATTCTATCTTTCGCATCAATACCATTTTATACCTTTTACATTTCTCCCGCTTTTAAAACTCTTCTTCCCAGTTGCTTCCTCCTATTTTGCTCTCTTTGCCGTTCCTGTCTTCTTTTGTACAAACTTTCTGCCCTCCCTATTCTATTCTTTTTGTCCTCCTTTTTTCACCGGTCTCCTTGTCTTCCCTTGCCTCTGTTCCACAGCTTTCCTGGCTGCCACCTCATCCCTCCCGTCTCCTAAAAAAAATCCCAGATTTCAAAAAAAAAAAAAACAACATAATCATCCAAAAGCAAAAAAAATCACATAGAAAGGTAAACCATTTAGGATTACAACAGACTTCTCAACATAAATTTTAAGGGGTCAGAAGGGCCTGGAATGAAGTATTTCAAGCCCTAGAGCAAACAACTTCCATCCCAGATTGCTATATCCTGCAAAACTTTCTTTCAAAATAGATGGAGCAATAAGGACATTCCAAGAAAAACAACAAGAGGTACATGACCACCAAACCAGCATTCTTAAATATACCCAAAAATGCAGAACTACTGACAGACAACAAAGCCAAGTATAGATGGAATGAATACGTCAACCAAGGCAAACAGATAAACAAACAAGGAATATTAAAGGAATCATCAATAGAAAAAGAATGCAATGACACCAATAAATCAGTGACTTTTAGTAATAACTCTCAATGTTCATAACTTCCACTCTGCAATTAAAAGACACAGACTGACAGACTGTATCAAAAAACAGAATCCAAACGGCTGCTGCATTCAAAACACTCAAGTAATCCAACAAGGTATTCAGAGACTAACAATCAAAGAATGGAGCTGAGCATGGTAGTGCACGCCTATAATGCCAGCACTCAGGAAGCTGAGGAAGAAGGTTTCTGAGAGTTCGAAGCCAGCCTGGGCCACATAGTGAGCTAAGGCCAGCCTAAACTACATAGCAAGATCCTGTTTAAAAAAAAAAAAAAAAAATCAAAGAATCAAAAGCAGTATTCCATGTACCAGGACCCCAAAATCAAGCAGCAGTAGTAATTTCACACTCAAAGTAAACTTCAAGCTAAAACTAATCAGAAGAGGCAAAAAAGGTTACTATCCACTTGTTAAGGGAACAATCCAACAAGAAGAATTAACAATTGTAATCATACATGCAGCAAATACTGGGGCCCCTCACTCCATAAAACAAACACTGCTGGACATAAAAGATCAAATAAACACCAATACAATCATAGTAGGTAGCCTCAATACCCCACTTTCACAGAGATATCAATCAAACAAAAACCCAGTAGAAATATCAGAGCTAAATCACACTTCTGAAGAAATGGTCTTAATAGATATTTATAGTGTTCTACCCTATTACAACAGATACACATTCTTCTCAGCAGCACACAGCACTTTTTCCAAAATAGACCACATACTAGTCCACAATACCAGCTTCAATAAATACAAAAGAAACAAAACCACCCCATGTATACTATCATACCATTGTGCATTGAAACTGGAAATTCATCACAGAAAAAAACCACAGAAAAATTGATAAACACCTGGATGTTTAATAGCA